GTAAAGAGATTATATTAACAGAAAGAGCAAAATACAAAGTTTTGTACAGTAGGATAAGGAGGGTACTGAGATAATACAAAAGATTCCTGCAAAGTTTGTTTGCTCAAGTTAGTTATTGGTGTGCAGGAATAATGTACCTCATTTTAATATATAAGAGATTAAAAGACCTAAATAAAGATAAAAGGTTTTTCGTTTCAGTTAAAAGTCCTAGATTAGACCAATGCAAAGAAGAGAGATCCGGGAGTGCTTGAATCATAGATTGGGAATCTGAGCATATCAAAAGATGAGATTTCCCCTGTTCTTGAACAATAGAGATCCCTTGATAGATGGAAAAAATTTCTACTTCCTCTACTGATTTTAATCTTTTCCTTCCTCCTGTAATTTGAAGACATTCTGGTTGAATATTCAAAAGAATAACCCCATAAGTAAATGAGATTTGGTTAATTTTCCCTGCATCAGTGAAGATAATGCAATCAGTATCTTCTTTAACTTGTAGGCATAATTGCAGAGGTGGTTCTACAGTTGTGTCTGTAGCAAAATAAGAATACAAAATACCTTGAAAAATAGTATTAGTTTTTCGAATGATCCAAATATTTGAAACAGCGTTATCTCTAAAAACTTTCATTCCTGGCAAACCAAAGATAGTATAATGAGATAGCATACCAAGAAAGAATTTACCTTAAAAAATATTTATCTGAAATCTTATGATCAAGTCCAAAAATATAATTAATCCAAGAGTCATAAGAAGTGTCAAAAGAGATTATATTCTAGGGAGAGGCAAAGAGAACAGATTTTGTGAAAGGGCAATTAAGAAATAAATGGTTCAGGATTCAGAGCCATTTTGACAGAAAACACAATATTTGTCTTGATGATTAGAAAAAATATTTTCTTTGATCGGGATGAAATCATGAATAACTCTCCAAAAAAGAAGTTGATACTGAGGAGGATAGAAAAAGCACCAAATCCATTTGTTACAGCAATTCAATTGGGGGGATACTTGAGGGATGTATTCCTGAATTAAATATTTATGGGCTAAAGAAGTTTTGAACCTACCCGAACAGTATTTGGTCCAAATCCATTGAATAGTAGTATTATTAGGAAGAATAGGAGTATTAAGAATTTGGRAAAATTGAGTAGGATCAAAAGTAKCCTGGATAGCAGGTATATGCCAATGTCCATTATTGATAAGATCAGCAAAGGTGATATTTATTAAATGAGGAGAAATAGATATATCATTAAAAAGCGACCTTCATTTTGGATCCATGGAAACTGAGTAATATTTTCAATAGAGTTGTTGAAAACCAAATAGCCTACTTCTTGGGAAAGCTTATGAAGTTTGGGTTAGTAGATTTCCAAAAGAAAGAACTGGTTTTAGGATTGGAATAAGGAAAATAAGTATTACGAGGTAAATATTTAGATTTCCAAATTTGAGCCCACCATTTCTGAGGTTCATTGAGGAATCTCCGAGCAAGTTTTTTGAGGAAAGTTACATTGACCAATTTTGTTTGTCGAAATCCTAAGCCACCAGAAGATTTGGGAAGGGTTAATTTATGCCAAGGTCCCCAGTGATAGGGATAAGGATTTGTATCAGATTTATCCCACCAAAAAATTTTTATAATTTGATCAACGCTGTTGATTTTTTTTTGGGTAATTGGGCTACAATCATAGCATGAGAAGGAATAGATTGAAAAACAGATTGGATAAGAATTCTTTTTCCTGCTTGACTAATAGAAGAGGCTTTCCAATTGTTAAGTTTACTCTTTAAGTTATCTAGGATAAAGGAAAGTTGTGAGTGTTTATTTCAATCYTAGATTAGAGGAAGACYAAGGTACTTAGAATTTTTAGGAAGATTTTTCATCTAAAGTTGTCACCTAATCATTCGTTGATGTCTAGGATGAGTATTTTTTCTAAAGTAAATTCCTAATTTTACTAGGTTTATGAGCTGTCTTAAAGCATCCTGAAATTGTTGCAGAAGAGTTTTAAGAGTATCTAATTCATCTCTATGACTTCTTAGAAATAATAAAATATCATCTGCAAAAAGTAAATGAAAAATAGTAGGAGCTTGTCTTGAAAGTTGTACACCTTGAAGTTGGTTATCAGTTTCAGCTTTAGTAATCATTTTGGTTAGGCATTCCATAGCTATAATGAATAAGGAGATAAAGAAGCCCCTTGTCTAATCCCTTTGGTAGGCAAAATTTTTCCTTTTGGGGTACCATTAATGAGAATAGAATAGGAAATAGTAGAAATACACTCAGAGATGA